CAATATGATTGATGTATGTACATTCCATGTATGTATTATATGTCAAAATACATTCTGCTGTCATGTATGACTAAAAAAATAAAAATAAATTGTATGGTAAAAAAATAAAATAAAATAAAACTTAAAAAAAAAGAAAAAGAAAATTTATTACTTGCCTAAATCATCAAATATGTTTTATCCACTAAGTATAAAGACCACATCTATCTTATTCACTACTATGTCCTATTTGGATAGTACTGTGCCTTGTAGATAGTGACTGTCAGTAAATATCTGATATTACTCTAATGGCTAAGCCTTTCTGACTTAACTGTGTCTAGGAGAGTGTCTAAAATGTTAAATAATGATTTATGAATCATCAAACAGTCCAAAATTATGATAGAAGCATCACAATCTGTTTCATGATGATGAATTAATTTAAGCCATAAAATCTATCAACTAAGAGAAGACAGGGGTTGTACTGGAACAGAGTGTTTAGAGAAGGTGCAATAGAAATGGTAGAGACCAATTCAGTATTCTTGACCACCAGAGACAGAGTAAGACAATGAATAATTTTCTTCTAAGGTACCAAGTTTTAGAGGACTTTGTTGATTTACAATAGATATCTAATACTATACCATACATATATGGCACAGAAAATCCAAGAACTTTCAAAAAGGAAAACAATGTTCCCCATAAAAGAAAATGTGGTGATAATAGCATCTGGTAGACAATCAGGTGAAAGTCTCAAATATWCATGGTTCTCACAAAGGCAGAGTAATATAGTGAACACTCTAAGGAAAACCAGGTGGTAAAGTAATGAGTAGTGCAGGATGTATCTTTAGCCAATAAAATAATTTGTAACACATATAGTATTCCAATAAAAATATGTTTAAATAATGTGAAAATAGGTATGGTTAGAAATGTCTTGATAATTTAATGACACTCAATTCAAATGATGGAGCCTAATTTCTCTACCACTGAGTATGGGCTGGATTTATTGACTCCTTCTAATGAAGAGAAAATAAAAGCTGAAATGACTGCATGTGATTATGGAGAATAGGTCATAAAAGGTTCTGCAGACTTCTGTTGAGACCCTATATCACTTACTGTGAGGTAATCAGCTGCCATGGTATGAGGAGATGTAAGTGGTTATATGTAGAGGCCCCTTGTTGGGCCCATGAGTTGGAAAGCAGCCTGTGTTGACTATGTGAGGGGCCCTCAGCGTTCAGCACACTGAATCTGGATATTGTGTTTGGAACACTAACCACACTCAGCCCCATCATCATGATAACCTGGCCTCCCTCAGGTGCACAGTGTGTTCCTTTCCTTCTGATTTTTGTTGCTGACCTATTAGCCCATTAGTTGCCACTCCTTAGGGTGTTAGCTCATTGGATTATTATGGCCCTCAGATAATTTGCCCAGTAACAGGCTATGCATAAAAGGTTTGCCCGCGCAATAATAAAGTGGATCTAGTTCTCTGAAACTGATCTCCAAAGGTCTCTTTTCGACTCTGTCACCACACCATCCTAAGCTATTCAGTGGGCTTTAGCTGGACCAATTGATCCCACAGTCCCTATGCAATGAGGGACTAAAACCTCCTGCTTATGGCCCAGTACTGAGGCATCTTGCAAGTAGACTTTATGTTAGATGGCTGTTGCCCTGGCTGACAGAGTGACTGCAACCCTCTGAGAGTCCCAGCTAAGAATAACTAACTAAATTATACTAGTATTATTAACCATCAGACACAATCTAAGATAATAAATTATTTTATTCCACACTGCCAAGTTTTGGAGGAATTTGTTTCATTACAATAAGTATCTAATACAATGTCATATATAGATGGTGCAGGGGATCCAAGAACCTTCATATAAGATAACAGATGTTGTGTATGAAAGACAATGTGGTGATATTACCAACTATGGTAGTAAATCAGGTGACTGCATATACAAGCTTGATTTATATCACACATAGATGGTGCTCTAAATGCTTTTGCCAGTTTAGTCTTTGCATGGGTCATTAAGCAAACATTCTACCAAGATTCCTTCTGACACTAGAATTTTAAGTTAAACGACGAATCAAAGACTTATGAATGAATGGATGTGTACACATAGGGTACAAAGTGTTGAAGTTATTATTTTTCAATCATTGCCTATTTCTGTGAATTTTATCTATTTTGCTTTCCTATATATATTTTGTATCATCAGATAATTTTCCATATGTATCTTAATTCTTCCATATATAATTATAGGGAGAAATCATACCTACTAAGAGAGATGTGCTTCAGATTGCATTAGTTTACATATGCAAATTAATATAACAATGAATGATATGGACAAAATTAGATGTGAGATATCATTATATAGAATTTATAATTTTTTAGTTCTTTTTACAAAGCAGGATACTAGAAGAAAGAATAAATATTTCATTATAGGTTCAGATGTGAATATTTTCTGTTTTTATTCTCTTCAGCTATAAAATGAATATATCATAGAGTATACCTCTTAAAACTTTGATTAATTTAATCAATATGTGTTAATTACTTTCAACACTGTTGTATACCTAATAAGCAGGTTTTCAACATTACCTCTTGTTCTAAGAATTGGAGTGGATGAATCTAAATAGATGTCAGACTTAAATTATTATTCAACATTGAAAACACTGACTTTTCTAGAACATAGTTAAGAATCATAGAACAATTCAAAATGATAATAAAGATATCACAATTTCCATGTCATGCTGATGAAATGATTAAGCAATAGAATAATCAACTAAGAAAGGGACTGTCTTGGAGAGGAATGTTAAGAGAAGATATTATGAAAATGGTAGTGAAAATTTCAGTGTTCTTGACCATCCAAGCCTAAGATAATGAATAATTTTGTTTTAAGTTGGCAAGGTTTGAATTGATATGTTGCAGTATAACAGAATATACTGTAATACAATAGATGGTGCAGGGGATTCAAGAACTTTCAACAAAGTCAATAGAGTTGCCCATAAAGGCAACATGGTAATATTAGAAACTATAGTCATGACTTAACTTCAATTAACTAGACACACGTTAGATTTTCAGGAAATAAGGAGTGCCTGCCCAGCATACAAATCTTTGGTTCTAAAAGTCTTTCCAAATGGATTTTAAAAATATATTTTCCCATTTTATACAAATAGATCAGTGACCAGCTTCTCCCTTGGAACACAATGAATAAAATTTAGCACATAATTCTCTGATGACCTTGGTAAAAGCCAGAGAGGTTATAAACTGTGTGCTGTCATGGTAGAAACGTGACTTGGAGAACGTAAAATGGAGTTGGGACACCTAGTTAAACCAAGCTCCAGGCACAACCATAGCTGAAACTTTGAACAGAACTGTCTCTGCAAAAAGCCACCATGGTTCATGCTGACCTGGTAAACTGGACTGAGGACAGTGTGTGAAATAGCTCCCATGCTTCCTGAGACCTCGTGATGCTTTTCTTATAAGGCAGTGTGCGCTTGACACAAATCTTGACTCAAATCTTGACAAACAATGCATGTGACTTCCAACAGACTTTCTCTTAAAGCTATAAAAACAGCCACCATTCTGTAATATTTTGAAACATGTTTTCCAGGCTACTTCAATTTGGTGTCTCTTGGAAGGATTGCGATCCTAAAGGATCCATAGAAACATAATTCTTTTTTGTTCTCAACGAGGTTGATTTTATCTCAGTAGACAGTATAAACTTATATTTGCTAAAATGTGTAGTCTTCTTACAAATTTCAACCTTTTCAACTCTAAAACCTAGATTTATAGAACAGGTAAAAGGGACATTGTTGAAGAACAGAAAAAGCCATAAATTTGGAGAGGAAGGAAGAAAGACATGGAGGAATAAGCAGGCCATGGCCTCTAGACACTTGCAATTTTAATGATAAACAATCAAAGCAGAATTCCATCAAATACAGAGTGCAGAGCAGAAGAGATATGTTGTTTTGGCAAATTATAAAAAGAGGAAATGTTAGGTTAACAGGAAGAAGCTTCTTTGAAGGTATAAATGTGTGCTCTAGTCCACGAAATTCAGATGATGTGAGTGTTGCAATTCCCAAAAAATGAGAGATAGTGACTGTGCCCTGTTTGTTATTTGGCAATAATTCTGGTATAAAAGGAGTAGATCTGAAAAACTCATTCAAAAAAAATCAGAGAGGCATTGCTCTTGTGTCTCATACCCAAGATACCATCTTCCTCAGGGCCACTTTCACATCCTTATTTCTCAAGGAATAAATCAAAGGATTGAGGGAAGGAGTGACGACATTGTTTAACACCTGAACAACAGAATCCAGCCAGGGGCTGGAAGCAGGTCTGAGATAGACAAGAATCACAGGTCCATAGAACAAGAGGATGGAGGTCAGGTGGGCACTGCAGGTGGAGAAGGCTCTGCGCCTGCCTTCAGAGGAACGGATTTTCAATATAGAGAGAACAATGCGGGTGTAAGAAAGGAGGATAAGAAGAAAACACACCAGGGCAACCACACCTATGTTGGTGAAACTCACCATCTGTGCTAGAGAAGTGTCTGCACAGGCCAGGGACAGCACCACTGGGATATCACAGAAAAAGCTGTCCACCTCATTGGGCCCACAGTAGGGCAACTTAAAGATGAGAAACGTGAGGATGCTCCCATGCACACAGCCCCCCAGCCATGTGCACACTGTCAGGCTGGTGCACACCCTCTGGTTCATGATGACAGTGTAGCGCATGGGGTGACAAATGGCCACAAAGCGGTCATAGGCCATCACTGTGTACAGGAAACACTCAGTGCCACCCAGAGTGTGGTAGAAGAAGACCTGGGAGGCACAGCCCTGGTAAGAGATGGTGCGGCTCTGCCCCGCCAGGGAGACCATCATCTTGGGGGAGTTCACAGAAGGGAAGAAGATGTCAAACACTGACAGGTTTCCCAGGAAGAAGTACATGGGGGTGTGCAGGCTGGATGAAGCCAGAATGGTGACAAAGATGAGCAGGTTCCCCAGCAAGGCGAAGAGGTAGAAGGCCAGAAACAGGACAAAGATCATGTTCTCCAGCCCTTTAGTGTGAGGAAGTCCCAACAGGATGAACTCCTTCACAGAGGTGTAGTTGTTCATGCTTGGGCACCAGGCAGGCCTGGAAGCAAAGCAATAATCATGACCTAAGACCTGGAGGGTCTGAGAACACCCTCCCCACAGAGTGATTTCTCCCCCAGGCAGTGGCTGCCAGCAGGGCTGAGGAGGGAAAGAGATCGGTAATTAATCTGGACTTGTAGTTAAATTATGTGTCAAATTTGGCCGCAGTTTCTTCCTGTTAAGTGAGGAAACAGTAATTTATAGTTAGCAAATATCTTACAGTAATCAAAACTTCTCTGCAATTTATTTACTTTCTCCTGATCTGGTTGATCATCAAATACACTGGTGTATTTCAGAGCCATCTACCTTCTCCAAGAAAAGTTTGCTACAGGTATTTGTTACAGGTACAATGTCATTTTAGAATCAGTCAAGCTATAGTTTGTTTGTAAATAGGCAAATGACCCAAATATGTGCACATTAAAGTTTGAACCCAAGCAGGAATGTTGCAACCTACTACGTATTTTACTTTCATCAATAGTTTATATTCTCCATCATTTGTAGTCAAACAGGAACACACAACTCATAATTACAACCCACTCACACCCCTGTAAAAGAGATCTGGGTCTGGAAGAAGACATTGCAGGGGTGACAGAATAACCACAGCACACCACTAGACATTCTGTGCTCAGTGAGTTTTTCCTCTACATAGTATAGGCCAAACAATGGCAATTTCAAAAGCATGCCTACTATAGAGTGTATTAGTTAATATATGCACTAGATAAACTTGAGAAACAACCTGAATTATATTTTTGAAGCTTAAATTTCTGGGATTTTATTTTCATCTCATTTTATCTTACTGTTTCTATACTTCCACAAGAGATAGCTAAATTTCCTCAGCTGTGAACAGGATTTGTACTCAGGAAATAATCTAATAAATCTATTAATACCACTTTTTAGGTTTCTGCTCTGTTAGCTTTTCCTTCATTATTTAAATTTTGGTAAGAATGAAGTCTTATGTCATGGATAAAATTTCAGTAAGAGTAATTGGTGAAAGAATGAAGAGGTGAAGGAGGTGGGGTCTGCTCAGACTCTTGCTGCCCAGACTATTGCTGCCAGGCCTGTGTGAGGCTGGTTCTATCAAAGGGGTTTGAATCCACTGAAATCCCAGCAAAGATATAGACAGGAAGTCTCTATTTCAGCACAAAATGCTATTTACATTGAGTTTGGGCCATGGCAGTCAAATCTAATAGCAAACACATTTATTATCTATTTGTTTGCTAGAAATAGAAAAGCAAAATAAAGTACCATCTCTTGAAGAGCTTTCCCTGGAATGAAACTGATTTTTACTGACTCTACAGTTTGCTTCCTCTGAGGCCTCCAGCAACTTAGCTTCATTTGCTAAAAAGAAAGCTGGGTACTTCCTGCTTCATGGAATCTTTGTGAGGACTGAGATAATGAATATGCAATGCTTCACTCAGTTTTTGTAGTAAACAGGTAATAAGATAAAACAAATAAATCTCAACCATGTAACACTGAGGCAATGATACTGTGGGGACAGCAAAAGCCTTGAGATGTGATGAAGTTACAATTACAACAGACTAAAGAATCTGTGGATTTTTAAATGATTTTACTTATTTTTTAATCATCACATGAAAACTACATATCTATAGGATTTGTATGATTTAAAAGGCAAAGAAGGAAAGAAGTTTAGGGAAATGTTATTTTTTCAGATTCTCAACAGTGTGTTATATAAATATCCTGGCAGAATTAAAAGAACTTTTTGTGAGTTAGAGGTGCATAAAGTCTCCCTTTAGTCTGAACTTTTCTGTTTCTAGCTCAGTAACCAGTTTGTAGTACTACCAGCACAGATGCCTGGTCCAAACCTGCACACCAGGCAAAGTGTACAAGTCACAAATTGCTTTAGGTAAAAATCTTCAAGATCCTCCTCACTGACCTCTGCAGTTTTCAATACCATATTCATCCAAACCTTTTCTCAGGAAAGGATGTACAACCAGTCAAAGGAAAACTCTCTAAGATCAGGTTTTACTTCACCATAAAGAGGAATTTGGGGAAAACACTGAATTTCCCACCACAGGGGATATGAGGATCACATCTTAGGGAAACAGATGGAGTCAGTCTCTTTCAAAGAGGGCAAATAAGATGTTTTCTTCTAATACTAGATTCTAAACTTTAAAACATTAACTTTGGACAACCATTTTGAGCTTCACTATTACCATATTCACTAATATTTTCAAAAATAACATGAGGATCAAAGGAAGTTTATACTGATAAAATGACTAGATGTTTACTGGCAATGATTTCTAATTTTTATGCTAACTGCAAAATAGGATTCCTGAACAGAGAACCTATGTCCTTCCATGTCACTCACCTTCCCCTACCAACCATTCTTCACACACACACACACACACACACACACACACACACACACACACACACACACACTTCCCGCTCCATGGTTTCCTCTGTGCTGGCTCACTACTGGTTCACTGAACTCCACAACAGGTAAGAGTCTCCTGAGGCCCACGAGTCTCCTCCTTGCCTGGGTTGAGCAGGTGAAATGACCAGGACTCACAGCACCTCAAGAAGACGGAGGAAAGTAAAGAGAGCAGTGGAAGCAGGAAAAGATAGATAGAAGCAGGCAGAGCTTTAGACACCTACCAGCTGATGGAAAACACGTGTGATGTGGGTGAGGAGTGGTTTTCCTAAAGTTTCTAGGCCAGAAAAAAAAAAATGTGTTCCTAAAGCCTGAACTCTATTTTGCTTAAGATGCCATGGTGTAGAACCAAGATTTTCCACTTTTTCCTCTCAAATCCAAGACGTACGTTCCTCACTCAGCCCTAATATTAGTCGGGTCCTTAAATTCAGGATTTATAATGACTTCCACCTGGAAATCGTTAATGTCAGTAATGGACTCGGATTCTTCGGAGACAATATCCCCAGTGGTCCAATTCCCAGACTCAAGAAGCATGAAGGAGCAAAGGGAGTAATTATAGAATTTTCTCTCTTTCCTTATGTAATTTTCCATTCCCTCTCCCATTCTCTTATAATCTGGCTTAATCATTAAAGAAGTAGTTTGAAAGTTTATAAATTATTTACTACATATTCTAAAAACAAAAAAAAACCCACATTTCCTGCTAATAACCCTATTAGCATTTTAGTGTCTTCTTTATAATCGTTCCACCCCATAGTTATGGTCTATTTTTAACTATATGCAATCACACTATATATGAAGTTTTACATCTCTTTGGTCAACCTAATTTTAATTCCAAATATTCTCAAAATATCCTCCATATCACTCAGTTGTTAGAGCTATCATTGTTAATGGTAGCCTTTGTTCTACATATAGTATGTATGCCTTCTTGACTCCACCATCTTCATTTTTCTGGATGTTTAGTTTTTCAGTAGTTTCCATAATTGATCAAAGTAAAAAAGTACAGGTAGAAAGATATATTGATAGATGTGTAGGTGTGCATAATGAACTATAATGATATAGTTGTCTCTTTGTAAGACTGCACTGAAGATAACTAACATATAAATACTATAAATTTGATGGACACTATGGTTTTGAAATTTTTGTCAAATTGTTAGTAGCAGTGTTTGTAAGAGTGAGTTTTTCCATTATTATATATTAATGTATTTTTTAAATCTTAAGTTTTTTTCATATGTAACTAACAAACAACTATTTTTGATATTCATTTTTGGTTATTCCTCTGGTCAACTATATTTGCAACTTCTGTTTAATATTTTTCTTTAAAATGACAAAAACAATGTGGATCTAATATAGGATAAGACAGACAAATGGAATAGATATCAAACAAGTGAAAAAGTGAAAGAGAAATTAATTCAAGTATAAGTTACTTCCAAGACATATTTCAAATAAGAAAATAATTTCTAAAATTTGTATTAAAGAACCAAGGAATCTAATAAGGCAAATGACTAAGTCAGTCTTCACAATATGAATGAATTAATGGCAAATACAGAAAAACTATTCATCCATTTTCAGAATTAAAGAAATTAAAATTGTAATAAAATGTTTTACAACTAAATGTCAGAATTATTAATTACTAAAACTTATATAAATTGCTGAAGACAGTATAAATTTCTAGAACCACATTACAAAATGGTATGTCAATTTCAAATAATCTACAAGGTATTTTCTTCATAATAGAGAAGTTTGTCTGTAGAAATCAGGCACGTGTGCATCAGGACACTTAGTAGTATTTAAGGCAGAATTTTTTTTAAATTTTTTTTAGTTGTATGTGGACATGATATCTTTTATTTGTTTATTTTTTAATGTGCTGCTGAGGATCAAACCCAGGGGCCCATGCATGCAAGGCAAGCACTTCACCACTCAGCCACAACCCTAGCCCCACAGAATGTTTTTAATTTATTTATTTATTCTAATTAAGTATATAAGACAGCAGAATGCATTTTGATTTATTTTTACACAATTCTCTGATTGTACACAATGTAGTGTCATACCATATGTACAGTCACCATATGTACATACCTAGGATAATGATGTCCTTCTCATTCCACCATCTTTCTGCCCACCATGCCCACCTCCCTCCCCTTTACCTAATCATAGTTCCTCCATTTTCCCATGCCCCCCCCCGTTATGTATCAGCATACACTTATCAGAGAGAACATTTGGCCTTTGGTTTGGGGGGATTGGCTTACTTCATTAAGCATGATATTCTCCCACTCTGTCCATTTACCTGCAAATGCCATAATTTAATTCTTCTTTAAGATTGAATAATATTCCATTTTGTATATATACCACAGTTTCTTTATTCATTCATCTATTGAAGGGCATCTAGATTGTTTCCACAGTTTAGTTATTGTGAATTGAGTTGCTATAAACATTGATGTGGCTGCATTACTATAGAATACTGTTTTAAGTCCTTTGGGTATAGACCAAGGAGTGAAATAGCTGAGTCAGTTCCATTCCAAGTTTTCTAAGGAATCTCCGTACTACTTTCCATAATGGTTGTACCAATTTGCAGTTCCACCAGCAATGT